TCACAGATATAAACTGTGTCATGTGTCATCAACTGGAAGGAGCAGGTTAGTCACAGATATAAACTGTGTCATGTGTCACCAACTGGAAGGAGGAGGTTAGTCACAGATATCAACTGTGTCATGTGTCACCAACTGGAAGGAGAAGGTTAGTCACAGATATAAACTGTGTCATGTGTCACCAACTGGAAGGAGGAGGTTAGTCACAGATATAAACTGTGTCATGTGTCACCAACTGGAAGGAGGAAGTTAGTCACAGATATAAACTGTGTCATGTGTCACCAACTGGAAGGAGGAAGTTAGTCACAGATATAAACTGTGTCATGTGTCACCAACTGGAAGGAGCAGGTTAGTCACAGATATGAACTGTAACAGTGGGGCCGCGATAGCGTAGTTGATAAGAAGCTCGCTTTCAAATCCAGCTGCGACTCGCTGCAGCCCACGGTCGGTGTTCAAAACCGGGCGGCTCCCGGGGTTCACCCAGCCTCTAGGAAATGGGTACCAGAGTTGACACTCTGGGGTAAATAGCTGTAGCTACAGAGTTACGTGCGAACGGCGACACAGGCGGACCATTCTTATCAGCTGTCCGTACTGGTGGCAGAGCACTTATGGTTTATAACCGTGTGCAATGATGCTGGTTCACATCTCCCGACTTTACCTTTACCTATGAACTGTGGCATGTGATATCAACATCAAAGAACATACAGCAGCAGTATGTTCCCGAATACCAAGAATGGTGGTGAGGTCAACATTGCGCTAGCAGCCTTTACTTCTCATGGCGTTTCCATTTGAAGCTACACTGAACTGGGATCTAAGATGATTTCTTTTTTTTCTTCAGATCAGCCGGGTTGAGATTCGAACCGAAGACATTTGAGCCGTGTGGATGAAGTAGACAGAGTTAATTCTCCCCTTTTCAGGTTCAGTCAAACATCTAGGCAAAGTTAATGATTACCTTTGAAAGGGAAAGAGGGAATAAAATAAAAATAAAAATAACGAAAAAACATTCCTCTCACAAATAATAAATTTCTTCACCTTCAAATCAAAGTTTCAATAGTAGTCGCGAGTTAGGGGCCCTTACCGGAAACAGGAACAGAAGGCCCTAATTTAAGCGACAGGATGGGCTGTCGGGATTCGCTCAAGTCAAAGTGGTCCCAGTGTGTTCATACTTTCCACCTGGTAAACCCACATAATAACCTCATCAATCTGGCGGCCTGTTTTTTTCCCCCTTCTTTTCCCTGGCTTGCATTTTACAGAGTGTCGTGTGAGACGGACGGGAAAGGGGGAGGAGAGGAAGAAGGGGGGAAAGCAAGGTGACATTCACAGATATGTTAACTAAATATTTTAAATTAAAAAAAGAAAGAAAGAAAGAAAGACAGAAAGAAAGAAAGAAAGAAAGACAAGAAAGAAAGAAAGAAAGAAAGAAAGAAAGAAAGAAAGAAAGAAAGAAAGAAAGAAAGAAAGAAAGAAAGAAAGAAAGAAAGAAAGAAAGAAAGAAAGAAAGAAAGAAAGAAAGAAAGACAGACAGAAAGCCAGAAAGAAAGAGACAGAAAGAAAGAATGCCTTGAAGTTTAAGAAATAAAAAAGGTACACGTTTCATTCTTTCCCTTTTCATTTTTTTTCTTCATTGCCCGTAAAAGGGTGGTCGGAACGTTGTGTTGTAATACCTTTCGTCTCGACAAGTCCGATTTCGGTGAACCCTTAATTATCTGTTACGGCATGCTTGATACATGCAGTGGTGTATTCTTTTTTTTTTTTCCTATCTCTAAAATCAGGCCACGAAACTTTTATGATAAATAACTCACCACAGTTGAAAGAACATATAAAGTTACATTCACCGAACTGACAAAGAAAAAACATTTACATGTCAACATTTTATAGACCATTACTAAAAGACTGGACATGCAGAAACTAGAAACAGTTCTAGAAACTACTGTTTCCAAAAACAAAGAAATGAGAAACATTTATAGAAACTAGTTTCCAGGAACAATCAGTCACTGTTTATCTCCACTTGAGGTGCCGGCGGCATAGTCTGTTTCTTGTTTCTGCTGGATAGTCTCTTGAAGATCTGGTAGACAGTAAGACATGCGCACTCGATGGCCTCGCAAATAGTCAACACGCTTGCTCCGATGAAGAGACCCATGTAGCCACCGAAGATGCCTGGGGAGTTTAAAAAAAAAAAGTTAAGGACCCTTTTCCCCGCATTTTGACGTAGTGAGCATATAGTACAAAAGTAAAGTGAAGATCCCTTTTTCAAGCCTTAGGCACATCTGGCATATTGGTAGAGCATCGCGTATTTTTACAGACCAATCAACACTAGGTGGGGAATGTGGTCAGCAGTACGGCAGCTGTCTTTACTTCCCCAGGACAGCCATCCTGGTACTCATTTTAGGCTAGGTCGACCTGCGACGCCCCGTACCATGATAAAAATCCCTGCAGCCTTCAGTGGGTTTCAATCTCGGTACGTTGGAATTACGAGTCGGACTCGTAAGCCTAAGCCACGAAGGCCGCAGTGAGCATATAGGGCTAGATCTATATTTAAAGATCGATCGTACTTGGGGGATGATGTGGTCACCATCATGCGGGCCGCCTTTACTTCCCAGGACTGTACCTAGTACCCATTTAAGGCTAGGTCGACCTGGCACCCAAGGTCGTTTTGATGAAAAAAAGACCACAGGCCTCTATGAAGTTTGTGGTGCTGATCCATACAGATTAATTTGTGTGGAATGGCAATCAACCAAAAATTTAATCTTTATACTGCAGGTATAAGGTAGGTCAGTAGCAAAAGTAAAAAGTAACGGTCCTTTTTCAACGCCTTTAGGCGTATAGGGCACGTTGGCTAGATCTATATTTTTTTATAGACTAATCGGCACAAGATGGGTGATGTCCTCAACATGACGCCGGCCGCCTTTACTTCCTGGGACTGCACTCGGTACCCAGTCAAGGCTGGGTCAACCTGAGAGTCGAGGTCTTTGTTTTAAAAAGTCCGGCTCCTCCAGGAAGGGAAACCACGACCTTCCGATGCTCATGCGAGCGTCTAGCCGCTAAGCCACGGCGACTCCCAGGTCTGTAGTACATGTTCAGTATTCTGTAGCGCTTGTCCATGTACGTGGGCAAGAACGTACAATCAACACAAATATTGGCACAGAGTAGATAATGTTTGGGGTAGAATCAGTAGGAGGATAAACATCAGACAGACAGACAGACAGATAGATAATAACTAGACAACACAGAGGGAAAGACAGATAAGAAGACAGCACAAAGAACAAATGGTGGATAAACTTACGGAAACACAGACACACAGACAGATAGATGCAATACATAGGATTAGAAGAGACAAATAGATAAAAGTACGGAAACACATACACACAAACGGACAGACGCTTAGACAATTCCTAGGATAGAAGAGACAGGCGGATTAACGCAGGGAAACATACATAAAAAAAATACAGACAGTACCTAGAATAGAATGCCAGGTGTACTCTGCCTCGTAGTTGACTTCCTCTTTGATCAGGTGATCGTAGAACAACCGAAGTTCAAGGTTACTGGATATAGAGCAGTAAACAAGGACAAATGAGAGACAGATTAGGTGAAAGCTTGCAAACAGAATAGGCCGTCATTACATAACAGGCATATGGCGATGATCACGTCCGGCTATATATTTATATCTAGAGTTGGCCGTGGCGATGACACACGACAGACAGACAGGTAAGCTCTTACATGGACAGACAAATGTGCACGCAGAAAACAAATACACAGAGATCAGACCGACAGATAGATAGACAGACAAGTATGTAGACAGGAAGGCAGACAGCTGGGTGCATAGATCAGACGACATATATTCAGACAGACAAGCAGTTTCGGGCATTCTGAAAAAGACACATACAGACCAGCAATTAGGCAGCCAAACAGACAGACAGACAGTCGGCTTGGTGAAAACACAAGCAGACGCATACTTAGACAGAAACATGCAAACAGCTAGATAATTAAATTAGTAGACAGATAGAGCCCTAAATTAGTTACATTTTAGAACATGCTTGTTAGCGAGCAAAGCCCCTTCAAAATGGGGCCACAGGATCCACACAGGGAAAAACCCCGAACCTAAGCTGCAGAAGAATCTGTCAGTGATGAACAGGTTTTATAAGCTAATAGTTCCGACACAAACAGAACACGCAAAAAACAGGGGTGGGGGGGGGGCGGGGTGGGGTGGATTGGGAAAGGCTGCACGTGCACTCACATGAGCTGCAATCTTACCTTGATTAGAAAAATGGTCAACTTATGTCATTAAGTCGAGGTGACATTTTACGCAAATTTACAAGATGTTGTCGAACACCTTTTTTTTTTTAATCTGGCAAACATCCATACATGCACCGACTGACCCACCCACCTACCTACCTACCTACCTGCCTGACAACATATCTATCTACCCAATATCCATCCGTCACTCCATCCATCCATCCATCCGCCAATCAATGCATCCATCCATCCATCCATACATCCGTCCAGTCATTCATCCATCCGTGCGTCCGTCCATCCATTCATTCATCCATCCATTCATCCATCTATAATCCATCCATTCATTCATCCATCCATCCATGCATCCATTCGTCTTGCAAACAAGTTATTTATTACTATTTGTAAAAATTACAAGATACTATATTTCCTCTATCCCGATATTTAAAAACATTTATATTTTTATTGTTCTGCTAATAGCAGTTGTAATTTCAAACAGTGTGGGTGTAGGGAAAACAGGAGTGGGGGGGGGGGGGGGGGGGTTGTGTGTGTGTGTGTGGTTATTTCAAAAGCCCCGCCGCGGATGTGTTGGTGTGGGGGGGGGGGGGGGGGGGGGGGGGGGGGGGGAAAGCTAATGCAACTTTTAAAGGCGTTTCAGATGATTCTCATCTAAACAGTAGCACTTTGTGTCACCGTGTGTTTATCGCGCCTTGTGATGTCCTGGTGACGTTGAATGAACGTCTGTCAGTCATGGTCACTGTAATTTCTGTCACACTCTCATGGGTTTGATTGGAAGCCCCGACGTAACAGTGATTACCGGTGCTCTCCGATTAGTGCGAAAGAAGCCTGTGACGTGGTCATGGAGTATGTGGTGACGCTGCACATGTAGTCGCACGAGCTGCAACTGTTGTTGTTTGCTGAAGCTTCCCTGAGTGCTTTAGCTGGAGTAGAAAAATGGCTAATTCAGTCATAAAGTTATTATCACATTTCGCGCAAATCTACAAGACTCGATCAAATATCGTTGTAAAAGGGATTTTTTTTTTCCCCTTTTCAAAACATGTTTGGGTACTCACCACATAGTGTGCGACACAGATGCGGGTACTCACAACAAAGTGAGGTTAGTTTAATGTCTCCCTAGACCCCGCCTATATACACACTAGCTCACTTCTGATTGGTAGTTCCTGAGCCCCGTAGACTTTGCACAAGCTTACGGGGGTGTTCCGTAATCTCGTTGATTTCACATGTTGTATATTTCAGCACGCCAGCGCTTTTAAGACTCCAAAACATGGAGAAACTGGGTCAAACAAAATCTCCATAGAGAGTGTTGCAACGTTTCTCACAGGCATTCTCTTTCTCGGAATGAAAACTTAAATGCAAAAAATTGCAGAAAAACAACAACAAGAGAATGGGACACAGCAGTAACCTTCAGAAAAGTCGACTAGTCCAAAAAACTTGTGAAAATTGACCTACTGTATTTTGGGAGACTAACGCGGAACTAACACAAAGCGAGTATTACAGCAGAACTATTAAAAAAAAAAAAAAAATGATGGTTTAAAACTAAAAGCTCCGATGTTCTGTACCGCTGCATAACGGCAGAAAAAAAAAGAAGAGAAAAGCACTGTTACTACATGGAGTCGCCGTACTAGACACTAGCCTGCATATCGGAAGGTCGTGGGTTCGCGTCCCGACGGAACGTGACTTTTTTTAAAATTTCAAAAATGACCTTGACTCCCAGGTCGACCCAGCCTTGAGTGGGTATCAGGTGTAGTCATGGGAAGTAAAGGCTACCGGTGTGATGATGACCCTATAACCCACCAAGTGCCGATTGGCGTATACAAATATAGGTCAAGCCCTATATTCCCAATAAGCCTAAGTACGTGGGGAAGGGCCGTTTACTTTACTGTTAGTATGTGTTGTCCATCAAGATGATGATGATGACCACTCTTTTTCATCAAATATGAGTACAGAGATGACTGATGAGGCCGATGCGGACCTGAAAAGTTCTTGGACAGTGAGAACAGGGAATGAGCGTTGTGCCAGGGAGGAGATCTCCTGCAGTCGACCTTCTGCCCATCCTTTTCTTAATAAGTCTTGCTGTTCTGTTTGTTCATGTAGCCGAGCCCTTGTGTAGAGCTGCACGCCATGCATTTCAGTCTTGAGAGGCAGCTTCCCAATTGGTGTCATTCATCCCAAATGCTTTGAGTGAAGACTTCAAGGTGTCCTTAAAGCGTTTCTTTTGCCCACCTTGGGAACGTTTCCCATTTTGTAGCTCACCATAGAAGAGTTTTTTTGGGAGCCTGTGATCTGGCATGCGACTGTTAGTACAGATAATTTACGAGATGTGTTAATCTTCCCTCCTTCTCCTCTTTCCTACAGGTTCTTCTTACTCCTCGTTCCCTTTCTTTGATGTAAGACAGACTGAAAATTTGTTATCATATGAAAATAACATTCTTTCATTCTTAGCTCTTTTCCTGTTACTCATACTCCTAATTTAATCATTTGTCTCAATCATCTTGTCCTTTTCCTCCCTTTGCAATATTTTCCAGCTCTTTATCATCCTCTTCAGCAGCAGCAGAAGATGAAGTGGAAAAAGAAGAAGAAGAGAAAGGATGAAAGAAAGAAAGAATGAATGAATGAAATAATGAAATAAAGAAAGAAAGAAAGAAAGAAAGAAAGAAAGAAAGAAAGAAAGAAAGAAAGAAAGAAAGAAAGAAAGAAAGAAAGAAAGAAAGAAAGAAAGAAAGAAAGAAAGAAAGAAAGAAAGAAAGAAAGAAAGAAAGAAAGAAAGAAAGAAAGAAAGAAAGAAATAAAGAAAGAAAGAAACACAGAAACGATTGAAGGAGTGAAGGACGGAAGGAAGAAGCAGAAGAAAAAGAAAAAGAAAGAGAAGAGGAAGAAGAAAAAGACGAAGAAGAGAAAGGATGAAAGAAAGAAAGAATGAATGAATGAAATAAAGAAAGAAAGAAAGAAAGAAAGAAAGAAAGAAAGAAAGAAAGAAAGAAAGAAAGAAAAGAAAGAAAGAAAAGAAAGAAAGAAAGAAAGAAAGAAAAGAAAGAAAGAAAGAAAGAAAGAAAGAAAAAAGAAAGAAAAAGAAAGAAAGAAAGAAAGAAAGAAAGAAAGAAAGAAAGAAAGAAAGAAAGAAGAAAAGAAAGAAAGAAAGAAAGAAAGAAAGAAAAGAAAGAAAGAAAGAAAGAAAAGAAAGAAAGAAAGAAAGAAAAGAAAGAAAGAAAGAAAGAAAGAAAGAAAGAAAGAAAGAAAGAAAGAAAGAAATAAAGAAAGAAAGAAAGAAAGAAAGAAAGAAAGAAACACAGAAACGATTGAAGGAGTGAAGGACAGAAGGAAGAAGCAGAAGAAAAAGAAAAAGAAAGAGAAGAGGAAGAAGAAAAAGAAGAAGAAGAAGAAAAAGAAGAAGAAGAAGAAGAAGAAGAAGAAGAAGAAGAAGAAGAAGAAGAAGAAGAAGAAGAAGAAGAAGAAGAAGAAGAAGAAGAAGAAGAAGAAGAAGAAGAAGAAGAAGAAGAAGAAGAAGAAGAAGAAGAAGAAGAAGAAGAAAAAAAAAAAGAAGATGAAGAGGAAGAGGAAGAAGGAGAAGAAGAAGAAGAAGAAGAAGAAGAAGAAGAAGAAGAAGAAGAAGAAGAAGAAGAAGAAGAAGAAGAAGAAGAAGAAGAAGAAGAAGAAGAAGAAGAAGAAGAAGAAGAAGAAGAAGAAGAAGAAGAACAGAAAGAAAGATAGATAGACAGACAGACAGACAGACAGACAGACAGACAGACAGACAGACAGACAGACAGACAGACAGACAGACAGACAGACAGACAGATAGATAGATAGATAGATAGATAGATAGATAGATAGATAGATAGATAGATAGATAGATAGATAGATAGATAGATAGATAGATAGATAGATAGATAGATAGATAGATAGATAGATAGATAGATAGATAGATAGATAGATAGATAGATAGATAGATAGATAGATAGATAGATAGATAGATAGATAGATAGATAGATAGATAGATAGATAGATAGATAGATAGATAGATAGATAGATAGATAGATAGATAGATAGATAGATAGATAGATAGATAGATAGATAGATAGATAGATAGATAGATAGATAGATAGATAGATAGATAGATAGATAGATAGATAGATAGATAGATAGATAGATAGATAGATAGATAGATAGATAAAAAGAAAGAAAGAAAGAAAGAAAGAAAGAAAGAAAGAAAGAAAGAAAGAAAGAAAGAAAGAAAGAAAGAAAGAAAGAAAGAAAGAAAGAAAGAAAGAAAGAAAGAAAGAAAGAAAGAAAGAAAGAAAGGAAAACAGGAAAAAAGGAGAAGAAGAAGAAAAAGGAAAACGGTTGTCAGGAGGATGACGAGGAGGGATATGATGACACACAAAAAAAAAAAGGTAGAGGAGGAGTAGAAGAAGAAAAATAACAACGGGAAATGGGGTGTGGGGGGGGGGGGGGTAAAAAAAGCAGAATGAGAACAAGAAGAAAAAGAAGACGAAGAAGAAACAGAATCAAAGGACACGTACTATAGCCAGAAACAGACACAGTTTACAATCACGCATTTCACAAAAATGTCCAAAATTAGCTCCTAGAAGTTTACTAAAGTAAACAGCAGTAATTGATTAAAAACTCAGACCAGATAGTTTTCTTTCAAATAATTCAACCTGGCAACAGATTCCATGCGACAGACATCCATTTATTGGCAGGGACACTCACCGAACGTGGGACGGATGCAGGCAAGTGCTTGTCTGAGAGTGCACTGCGTCTTGTGCCGATTTGTCGCATCTTGAACATAAATAAGGCGGGAAAACGGGGAAATGGTGACACGAGATGTGATCTGTTTGCCTGAGGTTGTGTGCTTCTGGTTTGTCTAACTGCGTGTTCGCTCATTTATTTCCCTGCGTATGTATGCCTGTGCTTGTAGGTGTTTCTGATTCGCCTGTTCTTTTGTGATTGTATATGTGAATACGGTGATTATGTCAGTATGTTTGCCTGCTAACGTGTTGATTTATTTATGCGCCAGCCTATCTATCTATCTATCTATCTATCTATCTATCTATCTATCTATCTATCTATCTATCTATCTATCTATCTATCTATCTATCTATCTATCTATCTATCTATCTATCTATCTATCTATCTATCTATCTATCTATCTATCTATCTATCTATCTATCTATCTATCTATCTATCTATCTATCTATCTATCTATCTATCTATCTATCTGTCTGTCTGTCTGTCTGTCTGTCTGTCTGTCTGTCTGTCTGTCTGTCTGTCTGTCTGTCTGTCTGTCTGTCTGTCTGTCTGTCTGTCTGTCTGTCTGTCTGTCTGTCTGTCTGTCTGTCTGTCTGTCTGTCTGTCTGTCTGTCTGTCTATCTATCTATCTATCTATCTATCTATCTATCTATCTATCTATCTATCTATCTATCTATCTATCTATCTATCTATCTATCTATCTATCTATCTATCTATCTATCTATCTATCTATCTATCTATCTATCTATCTATCTATCTATCTATCTATCTATCTATCTATCTATCTATCTGTCTGTCTGTCTGTCTGTCTGTCTGTCTGTCTGTCTGTCTGTCTGTCTGTCTGTCTGTCTGTCTGTCTGTCTGTCTGTCTGTCTGTCTGTCTGTCTGTCTGTCTGTCTGTCTGTCTGTCTGTCTGTCTGTATTTTCACAATTATCTCCTTATCTATCCATGTGCACATTCAAATATTTACATACACAGCTGGCTGGCTTACCCTCTTGATCGACAGTACAGTTGCACACCAGCGATGCTGTTTCGTGCGCACAGGAAGCAATACAAGAATCCCTGTTGTAGGACGAGCCTTTACTTGTCGAACCTGCGGCGCAGTATTTGTCTCCGTAAGACTTGTATGGGTACTGGAGATGCATGGCCTGTTAAAGATAAAGAAAGCAGTAAAATACTTTTCTCATGTCATTTCAGCGTTGATCGCTGGTCTCAGAGAGTTAAAGATTCAGAAAGTGTAGATGCGTCGCAGAGGATGTTGTTAATGATTCAAGAAATATCCAATTGAATAGGATAACAGCTGATAGATACAAAGCGTGCATGCTCTTTTCCTTCCACTATCTTATACTGCATTGCACTGTTTTTATTGTCTTCCACTGCCCGCTGTCTTCCATGGTCCTTAACTGTCTTCCATCCCACTGCCCCAGTGTCTTCCACTGCCCTAGAGTCTTCCACTGCCCCAGTGTCTTCCACTGCCCTAGAGTCTTCCACTGCCATTAACTGTAGCCCACTGTCTACCTCCCCTCCACCACCTCGTTTTCTACACGCTGTCCACTCTCGTCTATTGCCTTGGGCTGTATTTTATTGTCCGCCATTGTTATCTGTTGCCTTCCACTGTCTTTCGATGTCTTTGTTCTGTTTTGCACTGTCTTTCTTCGCCCACTACTGTCGCCTGTTGTCTTCCACTGTCTTTCACTGTCTTGTCTACTGCCTTTTGTTGTCTTATCTTGCCTTTTCCATCTTACCTGCCGCATGGATATTCTGCCAAAGGTCGAGAAGCCGAGTGGAACTTTAAACCCTCTGTTTATCATGTCTGGGTAGCTACCAGGCTCATCCAACAACACCTGCAACAAAAGCATTTGGTGTTAGAGATCTAGGTTCAGATCCTATCAGTTGGGGAGGGGGAAGGGGGGTAAATTTGGTAGAAAGAGACAGACAAAGAAAGAGAACAGATAGACAAAAAGACATTGCATTTAACGATACTGTTTGGGCATGTTACACAGATGCGATCTATGAGAGTTAAAGAAGATTTTGTTATTCTAGTAGATTTATTGACTAGCTGCCAGAAATTAAATGATGTATTTATATTTTCGCAAGCTTTGCTGGATTTGAGGGCATCAATTTTGAAGTCTCCTGAATTTTTTTTTTTTTTAACCCAAAGTAAACACTGTATCCATCATTGTGGCGAAGTTTTCAGACCACATATTTCCGGCACACGGGTTTCCATAGAGATAACCAACTACTATCGGGTCTGTAATTCAACTCTTGTGTGATTCCAGTGCTAACGTATGGATGCAAGAGTTAGAAAGCTCTGGATTAATATATATATATATATATATTTTTTAGACAAAATGCCTGAGAAGATTATTAATTCTCTATTAGATATATTTCTGATCTAATAGGCAAATACGACAAGAGACCAAACAAGATAATATTTCAAATTTTCTAAGAAAGTGCGGCTGGAACTATATCGGGCATGCACTCAGAATGGATTAGACCAGACGGAAAAAAGCGGGGGGGGGGGGGGAATCAAGCCCCCAAATGGACACCGTAAATTAAAACAAAACAGGGAAGACCAAGAAAGACCTTGCGCAGAACCATCTTCAGGAAAGGCTCAACCATGGGCCTAACAATCATCAAAGACCTAAATCAGGTGAAAACGAACCGCCAGACATGGAGAGCTATGTCCTATGCCCTATGTGCCACCCTAGACTCAATAGGTAAGACTAACTAACTAACTTACTAACTAAAGCGGCTGTGATTTGGTAGTTTAAGATCTGGCCACAAACATTCTATCTCACTAAACTCTAAGTCTTGCCTATGGTGAACTTTCAGTGAATACCAATGGTAGTAGACTGCTTCTATCGTCTCTTATTTCATAATAGGTCTCTTCTAATAACTCTTCTTCTTCTTCTTCTTCTTCTTCTTCTTCTTCTTCTTCACTTCCTCTTTTACCGCTGTCGGTGTCGAGGGAGATATAAGGTTCTGTCTCTAGCTCTTCTGGCCGCCTCGACCATGGCACATCGTGCTGTTGTAGAGTTTCTCTGATGTCATCCTTCCATCTTGTTCTTGGTCTACCCCGTGCTCTACGTCCTTCTTCTCTTTCCATGTATGCTTTGTATGGTCTGGTGTCACAAGGCATTCTCTCTAAGTGGGCAAACCATTTCACTTGCTGTCTTTGTATGTAATCCAGAATTTGTTCTGTGCCGACTTGTTCTCTTATGATCTCATTCCTGATCATATCTCTTATGGTCACTCCTACAGCCCTTCTCAGACATCTCATTTCCGTGGTTCCAATAACTCTGAACGCATTAATAGATAGTCCTCGTACGAAATTGCGTCATTTAACGGCATCTGACTCGGGTCTCAGATTTGAAAATTCTGAATGAGAATAAGGGACAGCTCGGGGACTAACCCCATGAGATGACAAATATTCAAGTGAGTTCATCTCAGTCTAGCTTTGCTGAGCTAGTGTTCGTGTTTCTCAGAGTTCTTAGCAAATATAAAGTGCAAATGTAACAATATAATAATAATAAAATAATAATTACAACAATAGAAGATTATACTACATTACAACACTAACAACAGTAATAGAGAAACATGGAAAAACCAGAAAGTGAAAAAATGGGGGGGGGGGGTGGTAGGGGTGGTAGGGGTGGAGGTGAACACATAATGTTTTCAACAATTTCACACACAGTTCCACTTCATTTACAGCAAATAGCTAAGCAAAGTAAAAACAATGTCAAAATAAGCAAAATGATAGACTGAGATTTTGTTTTCTAAGCTTGAATGTTGAATGTTGAATTTTTAATTAAGAATCGACATCTCAGCACTCGGGACACTCCCATAAGCTCTCCGTCCCCATCTTCAGCAGCAAGCGAACAGTTTAAATTCCGATGGTACCAGTAACAGTCTGATGGATATCCGTCTCGCCCCTCCCCCGAGTGTCGAGCGTTAGCCAGATCCCCTTGTAACTCCTCGCAGCGCCATTTTCCTCACACAGTAATGATCTATCTGTTCTTCGGCACTGTTCACTCGTTCCCAAAGGGCCCTCACAACATCCAGCTTGTCATATATCAGAACCAGCCAATCTATCCGTCTGCTCATTTCCCAATACACCGGTGGACCTGGAGAAAATATCCAAAGGATGCTAAATACCCGGGACATCTAACCTTATGGTGGTATACCTTGGAGGAGGAGACAAACTGTTCAATCTATTGATCACTTCATTCTCTAATTACCTTCTTCATATGTTTTAGGCCTACCTTTATTCATATTACTATGTTGATTCTTGTACAAGGACATTCTACTTAACTTGTTAGAAAAACTACCTCTCTTAGACAAACTCAAAAAATGTGACACTAACTTTCAGACCCGAAGCCATCATGGAATCTCCTTGAGGTACTGTCTGGCTAAGTGAAATAGACAGACCGGATGTAGGTCCTACCATTGAGGTTCTGAAAGGTGTAGAGGCGTTGTGGTTAAATTGAAAGCACACGCCGTCTATCGTTTTAACAGGCCGAAAGATACTTTCGCACCCTACTTTAACTCCATTCCAGGCACAATAGTTGAACATCTCACTTATGTTGTTAGCCAGCACTGAGTGAAAGAACCAAAAAAAAAAAAAAAGTTAATCAAAACAAAGTTATTCAGATCTCTCTCTCTCTCTCTCTTTCTCTCTCTCTCTCTCTCTCTCTCTCTCCTCTCTCTCTCTCTCTCTCTCTCTCTCTCTCTCTCTCTCTCTCTCTCTTTCTCTCTCACACACACCTACATACATACATACACTCTTATATTTATAGAACTCTAAAGTGTTAGGTCAACACACATACTGTTCTCTTGAAGAGAACAACGCAGATCAAACATATACCAAGAATCTTCAGAGTGTGGGAGAGAGGAAAAGGACTTGACCATATGAACTGAGTTGAGCTGAGTTAAGAACAGGCGTAACAGCACTCGGGACATTTTCATAAGCGCACTGTCACCATCTTCAGCAGCTAGTGCATAGCTCCTGTTTCGATAGTTCAAGTAGCAGTCTCCCCTTTACCTTGATTGTTGAATGTCAGTATGATCCCCTAGACCAGCGGTTCTCAAACTATGGATCACGACCCTTTCACAGAGGTCACCTAAGACCCTTAGAAAATACATATTCAGTGAAGTTATGAAGTAGTAACGAAAATAATGTTATGGTTGGGGGTCACCATAAGATGAGGAACTGTATTAAATGGGTCGCGGTATTATGAAGGTTGAGAACCACTGTCCTAGACACTTCCCATGCACCATTCATTTCAGACCATCAAGGTCTAGTTGTGCCTCCAAACTGTTTATTCGCGCCTACACGATGCGCACAACAATTAGTTTGGCATGCGTCAGTTTACCTCTAAGTAGTGCAGATCCAGCCAATCTGTGAGCCTGTTAGTTTTCCAAAACATCCGCATTTCTTGGGGGAGAAACTTTCATTAAGACCTTAAAGGCCTAGGAACTAAGAATAGATGCTTGCCTGTCTGCACGGAGCATACATTTACCATCTTCCTCATCATGCATTGTGAGTCTGTGACAATCACGACATGTGTATGACACGACATGTGTATGACACGACATGTGTATGACACGACATGTGTATGACACGACATGTGTATGACACGACATGTGTATGACACGACATGTGTATGACACGACATGTGTATGACACGACATGTGTATGACACGACATGTGTATGACACGATATGTGTATGACACGACATGTGTATGACACGACATGTGTATGACACGACATGTGTATGACACGACATGTGTATGACACGACATGTGTTTGACACGACATGTGTATGACACGATATGTGTATGACACGACATGTGTATGACACGACATGTGTATGACACGACATGTGTATGACACGACATGTGTATGACACGATATGTGTATGACACAACATGTGTATGACACGATATGTGTATGACACGACATGTGTATGACATGACATGTGTATGACACGACATGTGTATGACACGACATGTGTATGACACGACATGTGTATGACACGACATGTGTATGACATGACATGTGTATGACACGACATGTGTATGACACGACATGTGTATGACACGACATGTGTATGACACGACATGTGTATGACACGACATGTGAATGACATGACATGTGTATGACACGACATGTGTATGACACGACATGTGTATGACACGACATGTGTATGACACGATATGTGTATGTGGATGTTTCTCAAGCCAGCGTAAGGCTGCGGTAACTTCCTCCACTTGCATTGTCAGACTAGATGTAGTGGTAAAATAAACCAGGCTTTGTTTCACTAAGGGACAGTGTGACAAATAAGACTCCTCTTCTTTTCAATTAAAAGAGGCATTCACAAAGTAATGCCCCACAGATTTGTTCTCAGCGAATAATGAAGTCATACACAAGAAATTATCCTCCTCTTCTTCAGCATTCCGAGTTCTTGAGGTTGATTGCTGCAGATATCACCCGCTTCCATTCAGCTCTCTGGTTGGTCTTCTCTTTCCAGTTGGTGACACCAAGTGTTTGCAGATCTGCCTGGACATTAACTCTCCATCGTCTTCTTGTTCTGCCTTCATATTCTCGTTAGCAATATCTTCAAATTTGATTTGGGCGAAGACACCCTGAAAAAACAAAAAATGAACGATCTCTCTCTCTCTCTCACACACACACACACACTCACACTCACACATACGCACACACACACACACACACACACACACACACACACATATATATATACTGCGGTTGGCATTTTTTGCAGTTTGTACCACGCAACCGTGTCGCAGTTTCCCACGCTACGACAGACTAAGGCAACAGCAACTATTGTGTTAATGAGAGAGTTATTTCAGTCCATCGTCGTGTATACAGAAACGGGAGTAAGGTAACCACTATTCGTATTTGGCCCGACCGCAACTATTCGGCCGAATACCGAATAGTTATTAGTTCCACTATTCGGCCCTGAAGCGAATACAAAGCGAATATTCGGTACAGCCCTCGTTAAAACATTAGATAACAGATATACCGAAAACAAATTTCTACTTGAACAGGACAACACCTTTTACAAACAAGGCTTTGACGTCCTTGAACCGAGTCGAGGTATGTTCACAAAAACGGACAAAGATTATATAGATAATGAGGGTGTGTATGGATCTGCTGTAGTGTAGTGGTTAGACTCTAGCATCCTGATCAAAAGTGTGTGGATTCAAATACCACCGAAGGCGGATTTCATTTTCTTCAAAAAAAACCTTGGCTCACAGGGCCACCCAGCCTTTGATAGTTATCGGCAAAGTCCTGTGACGTAAAGGCGGCTGGCGTGGTGTTGACCACATCACTCATTAAGTGTCGATTTGTCTATAAAATATAATTCTAGCCCTTGATGCCCAGTTCCCTAAAGGCGTGGGAAATGGTTCTTTACTTAGAGTGTGACATTGACACATGAGTTACGTCGTCGGTGAATGTAATACATTTGCACACATTCAGAAGGAAAAAGTGTGAAGAATTACTTTCTTATCTGAATGTCCCCATCAGTAACAAACGGCGATAGCTGCAGTGGAAATAAGCATTATCTATATGTGCCATGCCGATAAGCGTTTGTTGTATTCTGTCGCCATCTCTCACAAGCTCCAATATAAGCTGATTGTTCTTGTCTCGCCCCATCCGTATAGTTAAGTCATGCATGAACTTTTGCTCTCGCTTTAGTCTCTTTCCATCAGTTTTTGCCAGGTGTTACAAGTTCCCAAGTCTATTCATTCTTACATTGCCCCCCCCCCCCTCCTCCCCCCCAAATCATCATTGTCTGCGTTTAAATGTTGTAATCAGTGTTTGATCATTGTGTCTCGAAAAGAACTGCATCGTTTGTTCTTAAGTCATTCCAAGATATTTTTGCAGTCTTCTCTTACATGAAACATCATCATCATGAACGTAATGTCGCCCTCCGCAAGGTTTACCTGAAAGAAACCCTGTCTCTCGCCAGCTTTTTGCACGCTTCTACCCAAGCCTACTTTCATGCTTGTCGGTGCCTGTCGATATACCATGACTCTATGCCTGCTGCTAATTTTACAATCCACGGTGGCGCGTGATGTGGCCAAAATATTTCAGTTTCCGAGACAAGATGCCGTTTACCTGCCAATTTCCCTCGACGTTAAGTTCTTTTAGGATGTAAGTAATTCTCTTCTTCTTGGTTTATGGTATTCTGATAATCTTTCTATAGCATTTCAACTCAATAGCTTCAATCTTCTTTCTTAATATCAACGAGATAGTCCACAATTCACATCGATATGGTGCTACAGGGGAAATGCATACCCTCAAAATTGTGACCTTAATTTCCTTGCTGGTGCTTAAGCACAGTAATTTGATAGTTTTTAATATTTGCTTTATTGTGGTTCTCCTGGTTTTGTCTTCTGTTGAAAGTTATCATTGCTCATTTTTGTGTGGAGCCTATAGAGTATATTCATCATCAACATCATTGAGTAGCAGGTATTTTACAGAACGTCGCTCTCTTCACTGCAAACGTACAATTCTCTCTTTCTTTAGCCAATTCCCCAATCTTATGTGCTTTCAGAGCCAGTGCATCCCCAGTGTCTTGTATCCACCATCCGCCTCTGTCTCGTGTTCCGGAAACTGTACCCTGCCTCGCCGTTTTCTCCAGGCCACCATGACCAAATATACCTTCCTCAGCCTTCGCGTCAGGATGCTGTTGATGCGCCAATTCTCCTCGATGCTCATATCATGGAGGATGCAGGTTGCGAGGATGAGGGGCCACATTAGCGCAGTCGATAGGAGACTCGCTTTTAAATCCAAAGACCACAGCCGGTGTTCGAAACAGGGCAGTTTCCGGGGTTCACCCAGCCTCTAGGAAATGGGTGAAAGAGCTAACACTCTGGGATAAATGGAGGAACGTCCTGTAGCTATCTATGTAGTTTCGTGCGGACGGCGACACAGGCGGACAGTTTCCTGGCAGAGCCCTTATGGTTTATAACTGTGGGCAATGACACTGGTTCACATCTCCCGACTGGGACTGTACCTCTTTATCAAGGAGGTTGTCTTGTTTAGAGTGTATTTTTAAACATAAAATGAAACATAAAGATACACAAGCGTTACATTTGTGAAGAATGGACATTGGCTGGTCCAAGACATCGTTATAGCTGGAGTCAGACAGCCAGTCTTCTAAGTCTTTCTCGGATGTGATACTTTCAGCCAAGTGAATGTTGTACAACTTCTCCGCGCCATCGGTAACGTTCGGGAGCAGGCTTGCTTTTCTGTAGGTGAGATGTGAAAAAGATTGCAGATATGGAAACTTCATTTGTGTTGGTTTATGTAGGGTTGGCAAGACGAAGGGTTAACAGTTGTATTAGTAGCAGTGGTACTAGTGGTACTAGTGATAGTAGTAGCAGCAGCAATATAGTAGAAGTAGTCGTGGTGGTCGTAGTAGTATAAGTAGTAGTAGTAGTAGTAGTAGTAGTAGTAGTAGTAGTAGTAGTAGTAGTAGTAGTAGTAGTAGTAGTAGTAGTAGTAGTAGTAGTAGTAGTAGTAGGAAGAGAGCAGCGGCAGCAGCATAAAAAGCAGTAGTAATAGTGGTAGTTGTAGTAGTAGTAGTAGCTGTTGTAGTAAAAGTAGTAGTAGTGGTGGTAGTAGTAGAGTAGTAGTAGCAGCAGCCGGAGAGCAGCGGCAACAGCAGCAGTAGTAGCAGTAATGATAATAGTAGAATTATGAGTAGTAGTAGTGATAGTAGTAGTTATAGTAGTAGTAGTAGTAGTAGTAGTAGTAGTAGTAGTAGTAGCAGTAGTAGTAGTAGTAGTAGTAGTAGTAGTAGTAGTAGTAGTAGTAGTAGTAGTAGTAGTAGTAGTAGTTATAGTAGTAGTAGCTATAGTAGTAGTAAAGTAGTAGTATTGGTAGTAATAGTAGTAGTAGTAGTAGTAGTAGTAGTAGTAGTAGTAGTAGTAGTAGTAGTAGTAGTAGTAGTAGTAGTAGTAGTAGTAGTAGTAGTAGTAGTAGTAGAGTAACAGTAGTAGTAGTTACAGGAAGGCAGACATCAGGAGCAACAAAACTATTAGCACTATTGTTAGTAGTTGCAGTAGTGGTATCAGTAGTAATAATAACAGGAGAGCGATAGTAGTAGTAGTAGCAGTAGTGGTAGTAGTAGTACTAGTAGTAGTAGTAGTAGTACTAGTAGTAGTAGTAGTAGTAGTAGTAGTAGTAGTAGTAGTAGTAGTAGTAGTAGTAGTTGTAGTAGTAGTAGTAGTAGTAGTAGTAGTAGTAGTAGTAGTAGTAGTAGTAGTAGTAGTAGTAGTAGTAGTAGTAGTAGTAGTAGTAGTAGTAGTAATAGTAGTAGTAGTAGTAGTAGTAGTAGTAGTAGTAGTAGTAGTAGTAGTAATAGTAGTAGTAGTAGTAGTAGTAGTAGTAGTAGTAGTAGTAGTAGTAGTAGTAGTAGTAGTAGTAGTAGTAGTAGTAGTAGTAGTAGTAGTAGTGATGCTAGTAGTGCTAGTAGTAGTTGTTATTTCTGCTGCTGCTGTTGTTGTAAATTAAATTGTAGTAGCTGAAGTCGCTGACGCAGATATTTTGAAAGAAAAAACACGGAACTCACGGATAGACAGAACTTAAAGACATGAAGAAATAGGAAGAGAGTACACAGGAATGAATGTCTTAATGAGAGAAAAAGCAAAATTAAACATTAAAAAATGTAAAGGAAGAGCGAAACAAAGCAACAAGCACAAAATAACAGGAAATAAAAGAAAGAAAGAAAGAAAGAAAGAAAGAAAGAAAGAAAGAAAGAAAGAAAGACAGACAGACAGACAGACAGACAGACAGACAGACAGACAGACAGACAGACAGACACGAATTTGCCCAACATCCATGTCTCACGTGTAATCAAATCGGTGAAGATTACACAAAGTCACAGCGGGAAAAGGGAGCACACTGACATATTTGATGTCTAGCAAAGTCTTCACAGGGTAGCTGCAGTAGTTTCCCCCTAGTTGAATCAAACCCCAGATCATCAGCGTTAGCGACACCAAGATGCCCACCTTCCACAGAGACCTGGCGATGAGAATCGAAAAACACAGGTTCAGTTTGTTTAAAGAGATAGGTTTTGTTCGTTAATCATATGTTATGAACTCTAATTGGTATCTAAAAAGTAGTATATTGCGTTTCAAATGTGCCTCTGATACTTCTTGATTCCACTGTTGAAACCATCGCAAGGCGCAAGGTCCGCAGCTGGGATTGAACGTGGCATCCCGGCACTACGAAGCGCGTTCGCAATGCCTAAGACACAGACGCCGAGATTATGTGTAAACCCAAATAATAGAATATTGCCTTATTGATACATACGTGTAGACTGTTTGGAAATCATTTCACATGTGCAAAGATGCGTCCTCAAGTTCGTTATGAACTTCAAGCGATTCATGTTTCTCGGGTGTCTCTAGCTCCAAGTGTTTACATTCACAGCCCGTCAACATAACACAAACGCCCATGTGTACCCATGCTTACAAAACCTTGGCTTCATTAACTCTTTATACACTAGAGTAAATTTCGCACACAAAAGGGTCGTGAGAACGAAGGATAACTTCTTTTACAGGCTAGCAACCGAATTTTATTCGCGTAGTTACCAACCAAATAGTAGTAGTAGTAGTACTTTTTTTTTTACCCCACCAGGACATCACACAAGCTATAAACACCCGATGACACAAAGTGCCATCATGCAGATGAGGATCACCCGTGGAGAGGTCTTGAAAATCGCGTTTAGCCATTAGGCCATATTTATGGCCGGGCTATGCTGCGGCCCCTGGCAAGCGCCAGGGTGGGGCTTCACAATAACGAAGAATTGCATCCCACAAGGGAATGACTGTATAGTTACCATCCGAATCAGGTCCGTCGCGTTAGAGTGCGTCATACTTGACGTGTCATTTGCTGGCTTGCAGATTTCCCAAATCGCTTTGCTGTGAGTGAGCAGGGCAACAGGGACAGTGTTGCCACTTTGGATGTTTTACATCCAAATTTAAAAGTTTTCCCTTGCATTTAGAAGGCGTTTTTGACATTTAGATGGTAGATGTTTTTCTAGATGTTTTTTATTTGGAGTAAATTTATAAAATCTAACCTAAGAAACAGGATGAAATTTGACTTCTTAAATGCTATCTTGGCAATTCAACTTTTGCCTGATAAGAGAAGGAAAAGGCTTTTCAACTTATCAGCTCCCTGATTGGGTATTAATGGAAATTGGAACAACTAAAGCATACCAGAGTCATTTTGGATTTGAAGCTTCAACTTCATCATCTAAGCTAAGTTTATCCTATGGATCTTGTAGAGCAGACTTCAGTAAAGATGAGGACATAATTCTATAGGATAAGTCATATAAATTGCTAAGTAATTTCTGACTCAATTTGGATGTTTTTTCTAGATGTTTGCCACGCAAATTAGGATGTTTTTAGATTTTTTTACTCCGTTTTGGATGTTTTTTGTCAAAGAAAAGTGGCAACACTGAACAGGGATCAGCAGCGGTAGGGACAACCGTGAAGTTCAGGATAGGAGTATACAACATTCTATAACTATCACAGGCGAAACCAGGCAATTAAATCTCGTAAACAGATTGTTTGTTTGTTTTAGTATCCAGAAGCCATGAGTTATTAACTCGTAGGCTCGGTATTATGGATATCGCAACCTTTCGGCCTTGATTCCATGATAAATACCGTAAATCTGGGATAAATGTGGCTTTTCTGCCTACCCCCGGGAGTGAACCCGGACCACAAGGAGTTCGTCACCCGGTCACCGTGCAATCCGGTTTAGCCAACTACGCTAGAGAGCCGGGCCTTGTAAACAGATAAACGGTTTGATGTATTATTAACAGTGATACGATTTTGATGATAGTATTGTTTTTTGTTTTGTTTTTTGTTGCTGTTATCATTATTACTGATTTTGTTGTGGTAGTGGCGTTGGTGTTGGTGGCTGATCAAGGAGGAGGAGGAGAAGAAAAAGAAGAAGAAGAAGAAGAAGAAGAAGAAGAAGAAGAAGAAGAAGAAGAAGAAGAAGAAGAAGAAGAAGAAGAAGAAGAAGAAGAAGAAGAAGAAGAAGAAGAAGAAGAAGAAGAAGAAGAAGAAGAAGAAGACAGCGAAAAGCGGAAGAAGAAGAAGAAGAAGAAGAAGAAGAAGAAGAAGAAGAAGAAGAAGAAGAAGAAGAAGAAGAAGAAGAAGAAGAAGAAGAAGAAGAAGAAGAAGAAGAAGAAGAAGAAGAAGAAGAAGAAGAAGAAGAAGAAGAAGAGGAAGAAGAAGAAGAAGAAGAAGAAGAAGAAGGAAGAGGAGTGGGAAAAGGAAAAGGAGGATGATGTGGTTGTATTGGTAGTGGTCTTTAAGAGCAGGAGTAACATCATAAGAAAAGAAGAAAAAAAAAAAGCGGTGATGTGATAGTGATGATTTTTTTTTTTTTAAACCGACATAAATATAACCAAACATAAATACAACCACTGAGAGAATACTAACTTGATGACTCTATTCCTCTCAGGGCTGGTGGCGCACCTGAATCCGTGAGCCGAAGTGTACTCACAAAATAACGCCACCGCATCAAAATCTAGTTCACTAATGCCTGCCAGCAATCGTCTGGCGCGTCTCCTCAACTTAAATTTGCCCTTGAAATGCTTCTGGTGCTTCTCTGCCAGAATCATTGACCCCTGGTCATCGCAGGTGTAACTGACTCCCTGAAAACCTCTGCTGTCAGATGTGCATTTTGGAACGTATGAGCTCAT